CCCCCCCCTTCCCACCGGCCCGCCTCCTCCCCTCCCCCGCCCCGGGCCTGCGAGGTGCGCCGCACCCACCCCGGGCTTCCGGCCCCTCTAGACCGCTCCTCTCCACTCCCCGCCGATCGACGGCTCTCCGCGCCAATCGAACGCGCCCCGGCCTCGGCCGCGCTTCTCGGCGAGCCGCCCGCGCACGCGCCGCAGGCCGACGTGGGCGGTGGAGCGCCACGGGCTTGAAGGGCGGGGCGGCCGGAGGAGCGCGTGGCCATGCGGGCCCGGGGGGACCCCGCCGCCGCCGCCGCCGCCGCGCCCCACGTGGTAGGTGCCGGGGTCGCGGGAGCAGCCTCCGCCCCTCCCCCCTCCCTCTCCCCGCGGCGGGTCCGTGCTTCCCGGGGGCTTGCTTGGGAGGGTCTCCGCCCGAAGCAGCCTGCAGCCCAAGTTTATCAAGGCCCGCCTTGGACGGAAATTCACGTTATGTTCTGTATTGCAGATCTTGAGAACAGTAAAGATACTTTTTCCTTTTTTCTTTTCCTTTAAAGAATAATGTTTCCTTTAACAATAAATATGTAAGTAAATTAGGTGACCACTTTTTTGGATAACATAAATTCGGGAAGGGTTATCCTGTGTTGAATCAGATCCTGAGTAAAGAGCTTGACTGAATTATACTTTCAATCTGTGAGCTTTTCAAAACCATATTCGGATGTTATTTTTATAATCCTATCCATTTTCTGTGTAGATGTGCATGTATGTTCGTGCCATGCGTGTGTGTATGCATATGTACTGTGCGCACCTGGATGACCCGTGTTTGTTTTCTTATTTAGGAATTTGTCCACTCCTCAGTAGGGTATAAACTCTAGGGCTGGGAGGCACTAATTTCTATCTTTGGGTAGTCTATAATTGCTTAACGTGGTAACATATAAAATTAAGACGATTCCTGTAATCAGTTCATTTGTTGGCAGGTTTCGCTGGTTTTACTCCGTACACTTTAGACATTTTCGTTTTATCCGGTCTATAGAGAAGGACCGCACCAAACTCCTAAGTAGAGCGAAAGGACAGAGAGGTACATGGAGGTCACCCCCATTTTCCCAGCACCCACCCCATACTTTGTTAAAGCATGTGTCCAGGGACTTAAAAAGAGTTTTGTTGCAGTTTCTCTAACATAGTTTACCGAAAATGCTTACTCCACCGAGGAAAGGACCAATAGGTTATTTTCATGAGTGGGTTGGAAGATACACAGATGCTTGTGTCAACCAAAATGATGTTTCTGACCAGTGTTTGGAAAGCACATGAATTTGCCATTGAATTGGGAAGATTTTTGGTGCCTCTCAGGTTCTTGTTTGCTTTTCAAAAGTATCCAAAAGGATACTTTCCTCAATTCAGGGAAATCTAAGACATGATAAATCTTAGGCAACAAAAGAACGTTAAGAGCTTGGTGAGAAGGAACAGGCACCTTTTGTTTTGGGGGGCACATTCTTTCTCTGGAAGCCAGGCCTCCGCCTTTGGAGATGCTCAGTGGTAATGGGGAAGAAAATTAGAGGAGGAAAAGGCATCAGCTTTCACACGTGTATATGTCAACCCGTTTCTCTTGAATTGCAGTCTATCATCCTCCCAGTCCACAACGCCGAACCGTGGTTGAATGAGTGCTTGGAGTCTGTTTTGCAGCAGGACTTCGAAGGCTCCATGGAGCTCTCGGTTTTTAATGATGCCAGCAAGGTATTTGTGAACTTGCTGTTGGTGATGTAGCCCTAGCATGTGTCACATCTGAGTGTTTTGAGGAAGTTTCCTGAACTGCCAATGTCCTCGTGCTTTCAGGATAAGTCCATGACTATCATTGAGAAATGGAAGGTGAAGCTGGAAGGTTCTGGTATCCCCGTGGTCATTGGCGGGCACGCTTCTCCTTCACCCCGAGGAGGTTAGTGACCCTTTTTTTTTTTTAAAGATTTTATTTATTTGACAGAGAGAGACACAGCGAGAGAGGGAACACAAGCAGGGGGAGTGGGAGAGGGAGAAGCAGGCTCCCCGCCGAGCAGGGAGCCCGACGCGGGGCTCGATCCCAGGACCCTGGGACCACGACCTGAGCCAAAGGCAGACGCTTAAGGACTGAGCCACCCAGGCACCCCGACCCTGTTTATTATTCAACTGTAAGGAACGGTTTCTTATGACTTGTGCACTTAAACAACGTTAACCCTAACAGTAACACTGCCCGCTGATGCACCGGCGGAGGGTTAGCGGAGAACCCCGACCAACGACACACTGTAGCCGCCACAACCACGGGCACAGCCGGAGGGGACGCGGAGGAGGCCCTTCTTATAGGGTGTGGGAGGGGGCGGGGGGGGTTGTTGTAAACAGAAAGGCCATTGGAGTAAGCTGGGAGCTGGAAGTATAGTGGCTTCTCATTGGCTGGGCTGTGGCCGTCTCCCATTGGCTGGGCTGTTGCCAGGGTAGTAGGAAACCTTCCTTCCTGCAGCTGGGTTACTAAAGTAGTACCCACCTGTAAGGTGCCTCTCTTCCTATTGGGTCTGCAGTTGATAACCAGTGCTGGGCACAGAGCTCCCGCTGCCGGCCTCCTGACTCTGCTCCAAATAAGATTTTCTTTTATTAACTTTCATAATAATTTCGTTTTCAAATCCTGGTGAGAAGTATCCTGAATAATAAAGTTTATCACTTATTAAGAACCCAGTACACCTAGGTTTCTTTTTTTAAAAAAATTTTTTAAAGATTTATTTATTTGATAGAGACACAGCGAGAGAGGGAACACAAGCAGGGGAGTGGGAGAGGGAGAAGCAGGCCTCCCACTGAGCAGGGAGCCCGATGCAGGGCTTGATCCCAGGACCCTGAGATCATGACCTGAGCTGAAGGCTCAACGACTGAGCCACTCAGGCGCCCCACCTCTACTTCTTAAAATTCTTTTCCTGTGACATTAGATTTGTTTTTGTCCAATTTTTTAAAAATCTAAGAACTAGCTTTTGGTTTCATTGATTTTCTATATTCTTTTTTTCTGTTTTGTCTGTTTTCTGTTTCCACCCTGATCTGTATTTTCTTCTGCTTGCTTTGAGTTTAATTTGTTCTTTTCCTAATTCTTTTTTTTTTTTAAGATCTTATTTTATTTTAGAGGGAGAGTGCACATGCGTGAGTGCATTCAAGTGGGGGGTGGGGCAGGGCGGGGTGGGGGGTAGGGGCAGAGGAAGAGAGAATCTTAAGCAGACTCCCCACTGACCACAGAGCCCCAGTGACCCTGAGATCAGGACCTGAGCTGAAACCAAGGGTCCGTTGCTCAACCGACTGAGCCGCCAGGTGCCACTGTTCTTTTCCTAATTCTTCAGGTGGAAGCTGAGGTCATTGATTTGAGACTTTTCTTTTTTTCTAATACAGGCATTTCATGATATAAATTCCCCTCTTACTATCACTTTAGGAACATTGTGATGTTCTTTTCATTTTCGTTCTGTTTCAAAACACCTAATTTTCTTTTGACTTATTTACGGATTATTTAGAAGCATGTTAGTTTCCAAATATTTGAGAGGCTTTCCAGATATTTTCTGTTACAGATTTCTAATGTAACTCTTCTGTAGTAAGAGAACATACTTTGTCTTGAACGTGTGGCCTGTCTTAGCAAATGTTCCGTGTGCACTTGAGAAGGTTGTGTAGCTCTTGGTGTTGGATGGAGTTTTCCATAAATGTGAATCAGGTCAAGCTGAGGACAGTCTTGTTTAAATCTACCCTGTTGCTGATTTGGGGTCTACTTGTTCTGTCAGTTATTGAAAGGGGGCATTGAAATCTCTAACTCTGTACATTTGTCTATTCCTCTCTGTAGTTTTATCAGTTTGGGTTAACAATATTTTGAAACTCTGTTAGCATTTAGGGTTGTTATGAAGAATTAACCCTTCATCATTGTGAAATAACCCTCTTGATCTTGCTGATTTTCTTTGCTCCAAAATCTACATTGTTTGATATTAATTTAACTGCTCTGGCTTTATTTTGACTAGTGTTAACATGATATATGTTTTCCATCTCTTTAAATTTTTAGTCCATTTGTTGAAGGGTACCTCTTTTAAAGGGTAGCCCCTCCCTGTAGATTCTTGTAGACAGCAAATCCAGTCTGATAATCTTCACCTTTTAACTGGGTGTTTACATTAGTTACATTTAATATAACAGCTTTATTCATATGCCACACAATTCAGCCATCAAAGTCTATAGTCTTATGGTTTTTAGTGTTTTCCCAGATCTGTGCAGCCCCCCCCCCCCCCCCCCCCCCCCCCTCAGGTTTGGAACACTTTGATCACTTCACACAGGGACCTGGTGTTCTGTAGCCCTCACGCTCCGGGCCCTGCTCCTGCCAGGGCTGGCACCACACTGATTAAGTTTCGTGTATAGATTTGTCTGTTGAGGAGATTTCCACATGTATGTTTGTAAGGGATGTAGGTGTGTGGCTTTCCGCTGCTCTGCTATCTTTGGCTGTGGCACAGTGATGCTGGCCTCACAGAATTGAGTTTGGTGTTTCCCCCGTTTCTATTTTTTTGGAAGAGTGGGAAGGATTGGTGTCATTCCCTAAATGTTTGATGGAATTCATCAGTGAAGCCGTCCGGTTGGGAGGGTTTCTGTTTGTTTGTTTTGTTTTTGTTTTTCTTAAAGATTTTATTTATTTGAGAGAGAGAGAGCATGACTAGTGGGGAGCGGCAGAGGGAGAAGCAGGCCTCCCGCGGAGCAGGGAGCCCAACGCGGGGCTCGAGCCCAGGACCTGGGATCATGACCTGAGCCGAAGGCAGACGCTCAGCAACTGAGCCACCCAGGCGCCCTTTTGTTGGAAGGTTTTGATTAATGATTCAATCTATTTATCTCTTAGGTCTGTTCAGATTTTGTATTTCTTCTTGAGTCAGATTTGGTAGTTTATATATTTCTACAAATGTGTCCCTTTTGTTTAACTGGTTGGCACACAGTTTGTAGTATTTTCTTAGAATCCTTTCAAGTTTCTGTTAGTCAGGTACCCACTTTCATTTTGGTTTTCAGTAATTTGAGTTCCCTCTTTTCTTGGTCTGGCTAACGGTTTGCCAATTTTGTGGATCTTTTCAAAGGTTTCATTGATTTAACTCTTTTTTTTTTTTTTTACTTTCTATTTCACTTATTTCCCCTCTGATCTTTATTATTTTATTCCTTTGCTAGATGTGTGTTTAGTTTGCTCTTCTTTCTAGCTTCTTAACATGTAAAATTAGGTTAGTGATTTGAGATCTCTCTTACGTAGGCATTCATAGCTAAGAATTTCTCTCTGAGCACTGCTTTTGTTGTATCCCATAAGTTTTGGTGTGTTGTGCTTTCATCTTCACTTATCTCTAGGGATGTATCTCTAAGACCATCTAAGCATATTCTAGGAATACGTCTAAGGATATTCCACTGTTGCATAGAGTGTCTGTATGTGTCTGTTAGGTCTGCTGGTTTATAATGTTGTTCAGTCTTTATTACCTTACTGCTCTTCTGTCTAGATGGTCCATCCATTATTGAAAGTGGGATGTTGAAGTCTTCAACTATTATAGTAAAACCGTCTTTTTTTTTTTTAAGAATTCATCTGGGGCGCCTGGGTGGCTCAGTTGTTGAGCGTCTGCCTTCAGCTCAGGTCATGATCCCAGGGCCCTGAGATCGAGCCCCGCATCGGGCTCCCTGCTCCGCGGGAGGCCTGCTTCTCCCTCTCCCACTCCCCCTGCTTGTGTTCTTGCTCCCGCTCTCTCTCTCTCTGTCAAATAAACAAAAAAAAAATCTTAAAAAAAAAAATTCATCCATTTGAGAAAGAGAGATAGTGAGAAAGAGCACGGGGCCGGGGGTGGGGGGAGGAGGAGGGGGAAGCCCGATGCAGGGCTCCGTCCCAGTACCTGGGATCATGACCTGAGCCGAAGGCAGATGCTTAACTGACTGAACCACCCAGGCGTCCCCAAACTGTCTTTTTCTCTCTTTCATTCTGCCAGTTTTTGCTTCACTTATTTTGGGGCTCTCTTGTTAGATGTGTATAGTTTTATAATTGTTATGTCTTCTTGATTGACCCTTTTATCAATATAGAACGTCCTTTGTTTCTAGTAACAATTTTTGACTTAGGGTTTATTTTGGCTGGTATCAGAATAACCAAGCATTTCAGTACCCTTTGGGTTACTAGTTGAATGGAATCTATTTTTCCAGCCTTTTCACTTTTAACTCCTCTCTGCCTTTGGATCTAAAGTGAATGTCTTATAGACAGTATTTAAACGGATCATGTATTTTTAAAATCCATTCTCCCAATCTTTGCCTTTTAATTGGAGTATTTAATCCATTTGCATTTAGTAGTTAGTGACAAAGAAGGCCTTTTACCATCTTGTTGGTTTTTTGTTCCATAGCCCTCCATTAGTGCTCTCTTTTATGCTTGATTATTTCTAGTGTGCCATTTTGATTCTCTTCTCGTTTCCTGTTGCATGTATTTGTAGGTTATTTTCTTAGTGCTGACTGTGGAGATTACAATTAATATATTAAATTTATAACAACCTAGTTGGAATTAACACGAATTTAGTTTCAATAGTGTATAGAGCTCTGCCCCACACAGTTCTGTACTTCCCATTTTATGTTGTTATCACAGTTTACATTGATAATACCATGCGCCCACTGACATAGATTTATAATCATTGCTCAATGTATTTGTCTTTTAAGTCAGAGAGGAAAAAATTCAAAGTAAAAATAGAACAATACTGGCTTTTATATTTATCCATGTAGTAAACTTTATTAGCATCTTTGACTCCTTTGTGTGGTTTCAGGTTCTTGTCCAGCGCACCTTGGTTACAGCCTGAAGGACTCCCGTTAGCATTTCTTGTAAGGGCAGGCCTGCTAGTGAAGAGCTTCCTCAGCACTTGTTTATCTAGGAATGTCTTTAATTTCTCCTTCGTTTTTGAAGGATTATTTTGC